AATGTGCTTCATCATTTAGTGAGGATTTGGCATAATGCTATCGTAAACTGATCTAGGCTCTATTCCATATCTACGAAATCCTGACTTTTTCATTTCCCAACAGAGGTTTCCTTCATCACTTTTAGTAAGGATTTCGTGCCCGGCTACAGTAGCCTGCTGCATACGAGCACAGTATACTGCTAGAATTTTTAGGAGGATTTAGATAAAATGGCTGTTAGTTATCACAATCTGCTATTGGCTTACACTTTATTACAGTATATGCGTCTACAGAATCCTGCATAGGATTGATCTTCCAATCGGAATGGGCTTTGTCATTTATCGTGACATGTTATCGACTCTATTCCATATCTACAGAATCCTGTATAGGCTTTTTCTTTTCCCAACAGAGATTTCCTTCATCATTTTTAGTGAGGATTTAGTGCACGGCTACCGTAGCTTGCTATATATATGTTATGTTATATAGACACTCTATTGCATGTCCGCACGGATTATGTCTAGGCTTTTATCCCAAATTTGTTATATCACTTCGTGCAGATTGATCGCACAATTCCTGCTAGTGCAGCCGGTTCTGTATCACTTTATTACAGGTACTGTATATGGCTAGGAAATCCTCTATTGGCTTTATCTTTCAGTAGCAACTTGCTTCGTGTTGACAAATTCATCAATTATTTATAGTCTCATTGCTTTAGCCAGCCTATTCGAGCATTACGATCGGTAGTCAACTAGAGCACTTTACTTCAATGTCAAAGTTGCTATTGCTTTCCATCTCTTACCATATGTTTGCGTTCTGTGACATAGTTGAATACTTGTGCTATTTTCATGAATGAATATTTAATGGCCACTCTGTAATACATCCAAAACAAATACAGTAGACTGAAAATGACTGGGAAAACTCTTACAATGAGCACAACAAATAGTAGTACCAAAAATTGAAGGCAGCTAGAGTGCAATTTTTACTGATTGTAGCCAATTTGTCGATCAAGATCTTGCGCTTATTTTATACTTGTGATGACCGTGAGAAACTTATGGGGAACGTAGCGCTGCAGTTGCTACTTGGCACTATCCAATCCGCCTATATCTTGATTTTTGCGCATGTTGTTGGTTGTTAATAACTAAAATCTATAGTAATCGGATTATTTTACTGTATTACTGATTTTTACTGCACTATCAGTCTGTTCTGGTATAACACGTGGGGATTTTCCGCTGGCGCTAAAGCCTAAAGCGAAGGCGCCAGAAGTTTGATATCGCGTGCGTGAACTACAGGACTGGCAGCTATTTAACGCAGCTGATGGATGGTTAAATGCTATATCTTCAACCCTTGAACATAGTTGACAGCGAGTAGCAAGTAGCTATTACTGGTAGATTGAACTGATCAAGTTCTTCCATCGTCGTAGACTACGTTCTGGGTATCGAGAAGTAGTGTGATTCTGATCGATTTTACTTTGAGATCACAAATGGCCACTAGAAACTCCACTGATAGCTCTGATAGCTCTGACGGCAGTGAGATAGATAATTCCGACGTTCTTCCACTGAGGAAGACAGCGATGAAGAGGTATATTCTTATTCTGATGAAGCTATCAGCATGCAAGGCGATGCAGAGATAAGAAACTGAGAAGATTCGTAAAAATTGGCTGTACAATATGGCTTTTGAAGGCAAATAAAGTAATCAATTTGATACACAATCTAACGAACACAATTATATTTATTTTACGACCTCCAAGACAACAAGTATGATCTCGACAGCTTCGGATACAGATATTCATGGTTTTAACATGGCAATTTTTAACTTTCACCAAGGCGATGATTTATCATCATCTTGCGATTACGATAGAGATGTTAATATTGAGGAGGACGATACCGAGGAGATTGTGGTACTGAAGATAGCGGGCTAAAATAGAGCCGTAGTTTTAACTGGCCTTGTAACCTTTTCTTGCTAATATTGCTTAATGTCATGATCAAGTATTAAATTTAAATGCTAGACTTCCTGTTGGTTTCTCAATATTCGCTATCTTTGCGCTATCGTACCTTCTACTGTTTGTTTTGACAGAATATTTATTTCATTCCTTCATGAAGGATAATACATTGCAGCGGTTTTCCTTGGTAGTCAAGGTAAATCGTACCCTAACTCTAGGCTAAAAGGGACTAATAAAAATGATGAAATGTTAGTAGAAATCATTTGCCGCTGGCTTCAAGATTCACTTTCAACCGGTTGTACGGTGGAGATAGTTCAATTTTTTCGACATCTGTTTTACACGGACGATTTTTTCGGTCGGTCCAATCCTTATATTGAGGATAGGCGAAACTCTAGAGAAGTTATATGTTCTTTATTTCCACCAAGAGGCGCTCAATCCTCCTCCCTATCAGTAGTAACGTGCTTTCAAGCTTAGGTTTAGCCATGGACTACTAGATGGTAAAGGCTGATACGGTCGCTATGTTCACCCTATATTGCTGTAGAATTTATACTCCAACATAGGACGAAGCCATGTTGAAAGGAAGGAATGAGCACGAGTGAAATCTGGATTAGCTCCACAAAAATGGTACAGCTAGAGAAGAATAATAGCTAAAAACTGTAAAAGTAATAGAGATAAACAGCAAAGAACAAGTACTCGTATCTAAGATCTATAAAAGAGCAATCGTACAAATATATGCAATAGATGCAGCTAAAAACTGTAAAAGGAATTTTCTTGATAATTAATGGGTAATTCTCTCCTTTACGAATACATATCGTGCACAAATCGTTCTAACCAATCAAGCTTCTTATTAACTTGTACCGTTGTACAAATATCATCTACCGCCGAATAGTTAACCAAACAAACTGAGATTGTTATTGACAGTTTGCAATGTAAGAGCGGTGCGCAACCTAGTTTTACTGTTGATAAATTCATTACAACAACAATGATTTACATCTTTAGAAGAGCTGTTAAACAGTAATATCCAGACTTCATTCTAGTCCATCATTGCAGTGCAATTTCTAAGGTTGATTTGCAAATGGCCAATTGCTCTAACATTTAACTGAGTATGTGGCAAACAGTACCGTAGCATTTCCTTGGTACACGAGCGAGCATGCAATCACTGGCAGGAACTACTAAAATGAAGGAAAGAGAGGGATTCAAAGCGGCCTTCAGTGCAAAATAACTAGGAGGCCTATTATTTTCGGCCATTCACAGACGGCACCAAAGAAATCGTACACCATATTGCACAAAACCAACCTTGGATTTTAGTAGTCCTTGCCTCTGCACACTAGGTAACTATGCACGAACTTCTCCGACTCAATATGCATACTTAAGCAGAAAATTAC